CCTTCCCAAAGGCCTGAGGGAGCTCTGGGAAGACAGTGCTGACCCCCTGGCGCCCCCTGCTGGTGCCAAGGGGAAACAGCTGCCAGGAAGAGGATGGCAGAAGCCCCCACCCTCCCTTGGACTTCCCCACCCCAGCCCAGGGCTTGAGATGGGAAGAGCCACGGTGAGCAGACCCCTTGGCCTGAGCCTGCCCTTGGGGCGGGCAAATGGAGCAGCAGAAAAGATGGTCGATGGACATGAGAGCAACTTGACTGTGTGTGGCACGGGATGCCAGGGAGAGGGAGGGTCCCAGAGTGAGGAGACAGGCTCGCTTCAGTCCAGCAGCTGCATTTATTGATGCCAGCAGGAATCCGGTTTTGAAAACAGAACTGGTCCTCTTGCCTCCCCCTCTTGCTTCCTGGCCTCTCACAGGGCAGACGAGCGCAAGAACTCCTCCCCGTCTGCAAGGGGAGACAGGGGCGTTTGGTTCCTTTCCCCTCCAAGCCGGCTGCCTGCGCTCAGGAGGGCCAGGGGGCTTGGCAGGCCCCGGCCCCTGATGGAGGATCAGGCTGGAAAAGGTCCCTCCCTCGGGATGCAGAGGGCACCCCGTGCAAAGAGTTCCCCCCATGTCTCTCCCCCTCCCCTTTAGGATCGCAATCCCCATGGGAGACTGCCGCCGGGGGCCTCTTTCTCCACGTACCGCTGGGGAGGAGGCCGCAGTACTCCTGGCACTCCTTCTCCAGGTAGAACTTGTTGGCATTGCCTCCGCAGCCCTGGAAGGTGAGGCACCTGCCCTGCTTGGCATCGAAGGCCCAGAAGGTGTCCTTGCAGGGCTCCCCTGGCACGATGGGCAGGCGGCAGGCGGCTGTGGGCAGAGAGGAAGGGAGAGGTTGCCGCTGGGGGTCCAGGCGGGACGGAGGAGGGCACAGGAACCACTGGCCGTGCTTCACTCACCCTCCGTCCGGCAGGTCTGCAGGCAGCCACGCTCCGAGGGGAAGTTGTTTTGGTTTCCCCGGCAGCCGCCATAGTAGAACCTCTCGCAGTTCTGGGATGTGGTGTTGTAGAAGTAGCGCAGCTCCATCCCCAGGCAGGGGCCGGCGTCCTTGGGCTGCAGGCAGAAATCTGTGGGGTGGGGGAGGAGAGCCCAGTTGAACTCTAAGGCTGTGCCTGGGAGAACCGTTTCAGGCAGGGAAGAGTAACTCCCAGCGGCATAATTGGGGTCGTGCCCACACTGTCGTGCCCCCCTCCTTCACTGACCGCCCAGCCGATGAGGGTCCTCCGGGGGCAGTTATGGGGAGCGCCAGCTTAGGGAAGGGGGATTGAGGCCTCCTCACCTTCCCTGTTGCCCCCCCCAAACAATGGGGAGCCATCGGCAGAGCCTGCTTCCTCATCCCAGGTGCTCCTCCGGTCTCTCTGGGAGAGAAAATGGGCCAGTCGTGAGCTCGGGTGGGAAGAGGAGCATTAAGGACTGAACACAGGTAGGAGGAAATAGTACCTGCTGGTTGAGTTCTGGCTGGGGGGGGATGCACTCCCCTGAGGAAAGAGAGACCGGTCAGGGAGGGCATTGTCTCCACTGCAGGCGACCCTTTGAGGGGAGGAGGGGCAGACGTGCCAGACAGCCTCAAAGACTGTGGCATGAGCTCCCTCCCTCGCCCTCTGTCTGCCCCCCATCCCAGCCCCAACCCCTGCATCTCCTGGCCTGGGAAGGCCCTTCCCCTCCTCCCCTCTAGCTTCTGGTTTGCCTGTTTCCGTCAGTCTGAAGAAGGAGTCCTCAGGAATGCCCAGGGCCACCGAGAACTGTCTGAACTCCTCTATCAGGTCCTCGGGCAGGTCGGGGCTCCTCCCTGGAACAGACAAGAGGGGCGACTTTGGCATCCCTGCCATGTGGAATCCACCCGTGCTGCAGGTTTGCTGGGACTCGAGTAGCAGACGACCCCCTCGTACGTGCGATGGGCAGGGCTGGCGGCTGACCTCGCTGTGTTGCAGGGCTTTGTGGGGCTCTGGGAGGCAGCCTGGATGTCCTCCAAGTGGGACTCCATTTCCTCCCCCAAAGCAGCCAAGGGCCGCCTAGCCGCTGGAGGGAGGCTGACCCAGCCGTTGGCCAAGAGGCCTGGAAATGTCCCTGAGCTTTGCCTGGCTTTGCTCCCGGCAGCCCTGGAGGGCAAACTCTCCTGCCCACCCCCACCCCCACCCCCCTGACAATCAGGGTAAACAGGAAGACTGTGGGCGGAGCCTTCCTTTGCCCTTGGACCCCAATCCACCTTGGCGCCCCCAGCCTGCCACTCCCGGGTGGGCTCCTCTGCGGTGGGCCAGGGGGATGGTGCCGTGTCTCCAGCTGGGGGGGCCCAGAGAGACGGGTCTTTCTGGAGGCAGATCTGGAGGGGCTGCCTTGGAGGCTGTGGGGGCCCTTGGTAATCCCTCTCTGGCCCCAAAAGTGGCAAGCCGAGCCATCTGTCCCGGGCATACCCCTCCCCACCCATGTTCAGTTTTGCACCGGACTCCCCGGCTCCCTGCAGCAGCCACCTACCGTAAAGTTGGGCGGTGACGGTGTAGCCGTAGCTGCTGTTCTTCTTCCAGGCAAGGAAGGCATAGTCATCGTAGTTGGTGCGAGCCACGTAGCCCTCAATGTGGGTCTCCCACCCTGGGGGAGGGGAGGGGAGGGGAGGGGAAAGGAAGGCAGAATGATTCCCCACTCTGAGGCCCCAAGCAGCCCCCCCTTTCCTTCCCCTTCCTAGGAACCCCACTCCTGAACCTTCCTATGCCCACCCCCGAAGCCCACCTGCTGAGCACAGAAGTCTCCCAACCTACTAGAGTTGTAGTAATGGTATTTCCCGGGGATGCTGCTCTTCTGGTAAACTCCGACCGCTTGGCTGCAGGTGCCTTGCCTGCAAAGGGGGGCGGGGGGAGAGAGTGGCTGAGAACAGATGAGGTGGCATGAATTGTTAATTACTGGCTGGTCTTGAGTCCATGAGGGCTGAACCTACCGGAGCCTGGTGAAGGTGACCGAGAGCTCCTTGCTGGTGTCCCCCAGAGCCACCTCCAGCGTCCCCATCAGGTAGCGCTCCTTATATTTCTTCAGCCACTTGCAGGTTGTGCCGAGCGCGATGGCGTACCACTTCCCGTAGACCTGGTGAGGACAAGCCCAAAGCGGTCATTTTAAAACCACGTCCGATGCCCAAAGGAGACTTGGCAGAGTTTCAACCTCCGTTCCTAAAGGCTGGCGTTTCTCTTTTTGTGCCAGTCCTCCGTTGGGAGTCGGGGGTCCTCGTGATATTTCTAGCTAGAATCCCAGCCCTGGCTACTCTGTTTCGACAGAACGGAGGCTACGCCACATCCATAATCAAAGGAACCGTGAAAGAGATTGCAGACTGAGCTTTAGGAGGCCCACTCCTCCTTTTATCATGTCAACACAAAGGGGTCTTACTCTTGCTTCCTCAAAATCCTTCTGGATTTGGATGGGGTCAGCTGGAGCGACTGGGCTGCTGCTGGCCGAGAGGAAAACGGCGGTGCAGATGAGAAGCACGACCTGTGGCTCCATGGCTGCGGCTGCACTTCTGCTCTGCTCAGCTCCTACGGGCAGTTCTGGTGCTGCAACGGGGCAGCTGTGTTTTTCTAGCATGAGGAAATTTGAACTTTGGTCTCCGGACTGCACCAAAGGTGAACGGCCTTGCGATGAATGTGGCCGCCTGGGAGCCTGAAGACGGGGTCTCCGGCAAGACCCCTCCTAGTTGAACGTGAGAGGGGGACACGGAAACGAATTTGGGTAAGGCGATGGGGGCTTCCTTCCCAGTCTTCCCAGTCCCTTCAGCTGAGACAAGGGGGTCTCGCCAAGCTCTGGCTTGACTGCAGGACGGTAGCCTCCTTTCAGGCAGAGGGTCCTGGTGGTCAGAGCTGCGTCCTTGTCCTTTGGAGAAGGCCATTCCTGGAGACTCTTGCTTTGGTCTGGCTTGACCAGAGGCATCCTGACAGCATGGGGTCTTTCTGTCAGCCTGCAGACCCTCCAGCCCTCCCTTCCTCCTTCTCCCAAGAATAATTAACCAAAGCAAACAGTGGGAGACAACAACCAGCATCCAAGGTTGTAACCCCTCCAAGGTTTTCCGTTTGGACATTGGATTCTAAACATACGTTATGCACATTATGTACATTTATTTACATTTACCATAAATGGTGAGGAGGTGGAGTGGGTGGGTAGTTTTAAATTTCTGGGCATTTATATCTCGGAGGACCTCTCATGGACTATGAATGCTAACATGCTTGTGAAGAAGGCACAGAAGAGGCTGTACTTCCTGAGAATGCTTAGGAAGATAAATCTATCTCAGCATCTCCTCCTGTCCTACTATCGCAGCACCACTGAGAGTGTCCTGACATACGGCATTCTTGCATGGTATGGGAGCAGCTCTGCAGCAGACAAAAATGCTCTACAGAGAATCATGAAAACTGCCCAGAATATCATCGGACTCCAGCTACCAGCCCTGGATGACATGTTTGAATCTCGCTGTTTGAGAAAGTTGCATAACGTTCTCAGAGACTCTTCCCATCCTGCTTACAATCTTTTTGGACTGTTGCCTTTTGGCAGAAAATACAGAACAATTAAAACTTGGATCACACGTTTTCTGAATAGTTTTTATCCCAGAGCTATAATTGCACTCACCCATGAGCTAAAGGACCACCATCAGTGAGCTGTTGGACAGCATTACTTGGTCTGTTGTGTGGATGTTTGGGTGGTTGAGGGGTGGGGAATTGCGGTGGGTGGGAGGGTGTTTGGGGATTGTTATGTGTGTTGGACCTGGTCTTTGGGTATTAAGTGAATTTCTTTGTATGGGTATACTGTGTATATACGTACAATGACAGTAAAGTTGTTTGTTGTTGTTGTTGTTGTTGTTGTTGTTGTTGTTGTTGTTATTATTATTATTATTATTATTATTATTATTATTATTATTATTATCGAAGGCCAGCAGCCAGAATTCATCAGAAGCGCCCAAAATCTGAAGTGTTTTCCCCTCTGGTTTTGCTGTAAACAGATCTCCAGCATTGTTCCCTGCCAGCTGAAGAGATGGGCAGCTCAGCCGGCCACACAGGAAGCAGGCCGATTAGCCCAGATGGGATTCAGGCAGAGCCAGGAGGAACTCTTTCAGGGCCTAAGATGGGCTTAAGCAGCCGCTCAGCTCAGCCTCAGGCACTCTGGGTGAAGCCAGCTTGAACCAGAGGAGCCTTTCCCGGCAGGGGATCGGGTGGCCCCCTCGGTCACATGTTAAGCTGGCCATTTTCCTCGGGAGCTGGGAGTGACCCACTCGGGGGCGAAGTGTGTGGGACTCCTGGACCGGCCCCTGCAAAGAAATTGGCCAGCTCTTCAGGACAGAATTCCAGCTGAGACTCCCCAACGGGTTCCAGGGGGAATCTTCAGATTGTGATGCCTTCAGGTGACACATAAAGGCATCACAATTTCCTTTCTGATGTCACAGAGCCCCGGCAGAGGCTGCACAAATCCAGGGTGGCACAAGAGAGGCTGAGTTTTGCTGGCACTTGCTGCCTGTCTCTCTCGAGGCGCAGAAGAGGGTTTTTGAGAGCAAAGGGAGGCGCGATCCGAAGGACTCAGGATGAGGTTCAAGAGGAAAAAAGATCTGAAGGAGCAAATCCGTGAACTGCAGTCCATCATTCACATCCAAGGTAGCCCTCCGAGTGCAACCACGTGGCTGGATCCTGGCATCTTCCTGACTGGAGGGAGGGGGGGGGGCGCAGTTCCTGGCGGACCTTTTGCAAGTGGATCTTGCTGGGCTGCTGTTTATGGGAGGACCTCCGAGAAGGGCCTAGCGCAGTAGCCCTCTTCCCTCGGGGGCCCCTGCGAGTCCCCTCCACCCGCCTTCCTTTCCAGAACAAGGGAGGAAGCTCCGCACTCAGGGGAGCCAGGAGGCCCTGCGCAAGAACAGGGACCTGATCAGCTTTCTGCGCACCACCCTGCGGGCAGAGATGCAGGAGCTGAATCTGGGGCTGAAGGTGAGCCCTCTGGGTCTCCCTGGCACAACAGAGAGGGAAGGAGAGGCAGGGTGGCCCCCGGTTAATCCCAAGCCCTCTCGCCCTGCCCCGTTGGGCCACGGGTGGCCTGCAGCTCTCACCTCTCTTTTCTCTGCTCCTCCTAGTATGACCAGGTCACGATCAGCAGGGCCTGCCTAGACAGGAAGCGGGTGAAAATCGCTCTGGCCGAATATACTGTGGAGGTAACCGGTGGGCAGGTCCTTCCCCCGTCCCCTTCCCCCCAGCTCTCCTCAATGGGCCCTTCCACCCCTTCCTAGCAAGCCCGAGAGTCCCTGAGCCAGCGGGTCTTTGACCGGATGAACACCCACAATCTCCTCTTGTACGAAGTCAAGCGCCGGGGGAACCGCCTGGAGGAGCTCCAGGGGACGCTGCAGGTCCTCATCGACTTGGAAAAGGCCAGCCCTGAGCTCCAGCTGCAGCTCCAGGTGAGATCCGCCCCTGCTCCGCCCTGCCCTGCCCTGGAGGACCCTAGGATGCCCAGGGAGGGTGAGGCGTGCTTCCCTCTGCCTTCTTTGTACGTGCAGACCGTCCGTCAGCTGGAGAACAACATTGAGAAGATGCAGGTGAACATTGTGACTGCAGACAAGGTCCACATCCTGTATGTGAAGATGCTGGACGTGCTGAGAGCTGTGAGTCCGGTGCTTTGGCCATCCTCTGCAGGGAGTCTTCTTGCTCGCAGAGGGTGTTGGGTTCTGATCCAAACTCTGGCAGTCCTTCTGTCCTCATGCCTGGGGGGGGGTGTCCATCCTGGGCGCTCCACAGGACTGACCTCGTTGCTGGAAGCGTTCCCCGGTGGGTACCGGAAAGTTGCAGCCCATTCACTCTGTGGGCTCTCCAAACGGGAAGAGATGAATGCGAGAAGGGAGGGAGGGCCCGTCCCTCTTTCCTCCTGCTTCAGCAGCAGTCCTGATGGCTGTGCTGGGGACAAGGGTGCCTCCTCCCCCCCCCCCTGCTGCTTCCAGAATCTTCTCCTTCCTGCAGGAACTTTCTCAGCTTCCTTTCGTCCTGGAGGACTTGGAGCGCCGGGTGGGCACCTACCAGATGGAGCTGCAGGGGATGGATCTGATGGCCATGGATATGCTGGAAGCCATGGAGGCTGCCAAGGTCAGCCACGGGGGCAGCTTTCAGCCCTCCTCGGCCTCTGCCCAGAGCTCCCACTCACTCTTTGCTTTCCCTGTGGCTGCAGATGGACATGGCCAATGCAGAAAACGAGTTAATTGCAGAGAAGAAGTTCAGGGAGAACTCGCTCAGCATCCAGAAGAAACAGATAGAGCGGATCCGTGTGAGGGACGCCAGTGAGAGGCACCGACGGATGGTGAGTCCTTCTGGGGCATCTGCTGGCCTTCTTTAACAAGCCGGCGTTGGGTCTGGCTCTGAGTGGGCCCTCCGCATCTAGAGTGCCTCTGGGGGGGACACAGTTCAGGGCTGAGGCCTTGAGCCTCCTGGGGTGTCTGGGGCTCCTCTGCCTTTTGCAAGAGCCCGCTTCCCCTAATTTGTTGGTTGGCTTTTATGATCAGCAAGCCCGGCGAGACATGGACTTCTCTGTCCTGATGATGCGCGAAGGAACAAAGGGTAAGTATGCTGGGGTGCCTCCAGCCATCCTCGTCAGGTATTGAAGGTTCCTCTGAGAGGGCACAGCTGATGGGCATTGGGGTCAAAACCACCTGGGGGTCTTCTGCTCTTCCAGGGACAAAGCTAGAGACTTCCAAGGCCCAGATTGAGTACCAGGGTCTGGTGATCAGCGAGGTGGAGAAAATCAAAAGTGCAGTGCAGTGCTCACATCTCTGGGTATGTCCAGCAGCCCAGCCTGGCTGGCTGTTTTCTTGGCTCTGAGGCGATTTCTCCAAAGCTCAGCCGTGAGGACTGCAAGGAGAGCTTTAGCAGCCCCTCATCCTGGTTGCCCCCTTTTTTCCTTCTCCCAAAATACCATCAGGAGCTGCATTTTAGGAGTTCTTTCAGACGTGAGGCTGAAGCTGCTTGAATGGATGAAAATGACCTATGTCACCCGGTGGAGTCCTCTTGCTTGCAGGCAAAAGCTCTCCAGACTCCAGCTTGGCTTCTCTCCTCAAGCCCCTGGCACCAGCTGAAGCCCCTGCCCATGTCTGGGAAGGATGCTCTGATGCAGGGGGAGAGGAGCGGATGGGGAAGGAGGTTCCCAACGATGGCCCACAGACGCAAGCTTCTCTTCCTCCCTCTCCCTCCTTTCCTGCCAGGATATCGCTGGGCGCTTCATGGCCCAGAAGAAATCTGAGGAGAACCTTCAGCAGCAGATCGCCAAATCGGAGAAGAAGCGGCGAGGCCTCAAGTCCCAGCTGAAGGCTCTGGAGCTGCAGCGAGCCGAGCTGAAATTCCACCAGTCCCCGGGCTTCCTCAGGTACTTGCCGCTCTTCGTCAGCAGAGCCGGAGGCACCAGGGTTACAAATGCCTCAGGACCATCTCTGGCTGCCTCCACGCAACAGACCCAAAGTAAAGTGGCTTCTCCTCCCAGCTCAAAGACGCTAGAAGAGAATCTGTGGAAGAACCTGGAGGAGGAGGAAGAACGGCTTTCGCTGGTCCGCGGCCAGGCCTCCAAAAACCAGGAACTTCTCCTCCACTTTGAGAATGGGGTTGACAACCTGATCCTGAGGCTGTGGGACATCAGTGTGCCTGGCCAGGTTTGTCCCCCTCTCCAACGGTTTCTCTGACCGGCAGCCCCTCGGCCGTGATCCAGAACAGATACGCGAGAAGCTCCCTGCCCATCACCTCCCTCTCTTTTTCTCTGCCCATTACGCAACGGGAGAGCCGACAGGGAAGCCCCCTCCCTCCCTGCAGAGGAAATGGGGGTGGGGAGTTGGAGGGCCTCCCCCAGACCTTTATCCCCTGCTTTACAGGAGGGCTTCCCCAAGATGGAGGATATCTTTGAGAAGCTGCAGTTTTGTGAAACGAAACTTCTGCATTTGAGCCGATTGATGCTCGATGTGCCCTTTGACAAATTCAGCCCCAACGAGAGCGATGAGGTGAGCCTTCACCTGAGGCCATGCTGCAGCTGCTTCCCTTCCGCTGGGCCAGGAGCCAGAGGGGGGAAAATGTGCCCAGGGGACTAACAGGATCCTGATTTTGCCTCCTGTGATATTCCCAAGCGGGCTCTGTGCACTTCCACCTCCCTTCCCTGGCTCAGCCCAGCCCTGCTTGCATACCAGGCAGGCACCCCATATGGTTGCAGGGCAGAAAGCCTGATGAGGGAGGTTCTCGGCTGAAGCTGGCGTGGGTATCCTGGTGGTCATCACGCTATCTCCGCCCCCCGCCCCCCAATCTCTTGCCTGCCACCTTTTAATTCCAATATGTAATTTGGGAAGTCGTTTGTCCACCTCCGGAATTTCCTTGAGGAGAGTGCCAGGGACGATCAGCAGAACCTGAGAATCACTTTCGATGAGGACGAAGAAGATGTCCGAGGTCTGTCCTGTCTCGTGGGGGTCAGCAAGGCCTGTGCCCCCAGCAGCTCCTGGCAGTTGCCATTCGTGCAGCTCTGGGCTGAGCTTCACTGGGGGGCGGGGGGAGGGAGAGGGGTATTGCTGCCAGATTAGAAAATTACACCTTCGTGTTTCCTCCCACCCAGAATGAGAATTCCCACCCGTTGCCTCTGCCTAGGGTTTACCGTGAAATCCCCTTTTGGTGTTCTCCCAGGGAGGGTTAGCTGCACTAGATCCAAGGGGCTGTCCTGGCCCCAGAGAGATGTGGGCCCGAGTCTCCCTTTAGCTCAGGCTCAGCCTAGCTCAGCAGGCGGCCACTGTGTGTGTGTTTGTGTGTGTGTGTGTGTGTGAGGAAATGGAGGTTTTCTTTGCCTCAACCTGTGGTCCAAACCGCGGGTGGGTTCCTCCCCTTGTCTCTATCCCACACAGAAGCCTTTAACTTTGCGGACATCGACCACAGCTACGTGCCCAGTCGGGAAGAGATCAAGAAGGAGGCCTTGAAGCTCATCGAGGAAAAGACCAAGGTGATGAAGAAAAAGCAAAGAGGGGCCAAAAAATGAGACTTCCAAAGACTTGGCTACCCCCATTTCTCAGATGTGGGGATTTGACTCTATCTTGTTTTTTTAAATCTCTATTTAAAATGATATTGGAGTTGCTTTAAACATACAACACCCCCACTCCGCCCCCCCCCGAATGTGCAAAAGAGGAAGTCTTCCCGTATTTCACAAATGGAGAATAAAGATGTCAACTTGCTCTGAATTGGATCTTCTCGGGTACAGAATTCCATAGAAAGGCAACAGTGGGGAAGATGTTTAATTCCCGCTGGGCTGGGGACACGGCACGTGAGAAAGAGCGGCTTTGGGCACAAAGCTCCCACTGATCTTTTTATTCTATTCACACGGGGGGGGGGGATGGGGATAGGATAGGATAGGATAGGATAGAATAGAATAGAATAGAATAGAATTTTTTTATTGGCGAAGTGTGATTGGACACACAAGGAATTTTTCTTTGGTGCATACGCTCTCGGTGTACATAAAAAGGCAAGATACATTCGTCAAGAATCATAAGGTACAACGCTTAAGGATAGTCATAGGGGAACAGTGTCAGTATAAATGGTAAGGATACAAGCAACAAAGTTTCAGTCATGCAGTCCTAAGCGGGAGGAGATGGGTGGTGGGAACGAGGAGAAGTGATGCAGACTTAGGGAGAAGTTTTGACAGTGTGGAGGGGATTATTTCTTGAGCGGAGGGGTGGGGGTGGGGGTGGGGGTGGGGGGGAAACTGTCCTTGTGCCTAGTAGTTCTGGTGTGCACTGCAGGGGGCTCTATGGGGGCTCTATGGGGGCTCTATGGCGTCGGGTGGCTAGGAGAGGTTGGTGGGCGGCAGGCACGTTATTCCAAGGCTGTCTTTGGCCTTCCGGAGGCAGATCCGTGGAAGCGGGATGAAGACCGGCGCCTTTTCAGGGGCTTCCGCCTAAGGGGCTCAGCGGAGACGGAGGGATGGATGGTCACGCAAGTCCACTTTGCCTGGGGCTTTTGCCTGCAAAGACCCAGGTGGCCGCTTGGGGGCGCAAGCAGACCCGGAGGCTCCTCGTTCCAACGTAGCCTTCATCGAAGGTCGCCCCGCCTCAACAAAGAGCTCGCGACCGCCTTTCGAAGAGCCGTTTGCCCCTCACGAGCCACCGTCCTAAGGCTTCACGGCTTGCCCGGTTGCTAAGCTACACGGCGGACGGTAGCGCGCGCCATCCCGCGTTTCCGCCCCTTTCTGTCCCAAACTGGTTGCCATAACCCGCTAAGGTGCTGTCGTCTCTCCCCCCCCCCATCAAAAACGAGGCTCTAAATAAAAGTACTTCTGCCCCGCCTCCATTCCCAGATCCGGAGCTGTGCAGACAAATCGGGGTGGTTTACAAGCGGTGGCATCGTAGGACCAAGTATTCTGTCCTCGGGGGCTCCCGTAGTTCCGGGACGTATCCGCTTCCGCCCTTCTTTGGCGCGGCGTCCCTCCCGCAAAGTCCCTCGCGAGCTGCCGTAGCCCGGCCCCGCGCGCGTCCTGCGTCGGCGCCGCCTCCCTGGCAGCTCGGTGAGGGAAAGGGAAGATGGCGGCGGCAGCAGCGGAGGCGCCCGCCCTGCAAGCGACTCCGGCCGGCCCGGCGGGGACGGCGGCTCCGAGGACCGCGCGGAGGTCGGCGGCTCAGCGGCCGCGGGCGGAGAAGTAGGCGGCCTCGCCGTCCCGGGCGCAGCGACCGCGGAGCGCCCTCCCGCGCCTCACGATGCTGTCGGCCTTGAAGAAGCTGGTGGGCTCCGAGCAGGCCCCGGGGCGGGACAGGCCCATCCCGGCGGGGCTCCAGTCCATGAACCAGGCGCTGCAGCGGCGTTTCGCGAAAGGCGTCCAGTATAACAGTGAGCGGCGGCCGAGGGAGGGGAGGCCGGCTGGGAGCCCCCGGGGCCTTTGGCGGGCAAGAGAGCCCTGCGGCGGCCGGGAAGGGCTTGGACGGGAGGCGGCCCGGGAGAGACCCCTGCCCCGGGCTCCTTCGAGGGGAAGCGGCGAGTAGGTTTGGGATCGGCCCGTAGCGGCTGCGGTGGGTGGGTGGGTGAGAATGAGCGTTAATTGGGAGGCAGGCAGGGCGGGGGGGGATGAAGGAAGGGCTTGCTGGGACGTGTGTCTCGCTCTGGAGGTTATCCGGCCTCATGAATGAGGGAAGCGGTCAAGCGGTTCCCTCCCTCAAACTGCGCTGCCTTTTGTGTGCGTTGTTCTTTTCCCCTCGGAAGCCAAGTTTTTAAAGGCTTTGTTTAGTTGCTGTGCCAGCTGGTCCTTGGAAGACCAGCGTTTGCTTTGCTATCCGTCTTCGCTGCTGATTTGTTTGCAGTCCTTCAAAGGGTGTCTTTGCTGTTGGGATATTTTTTGTGCCTCTCTGACTTCTTTCCTTCAACGAAGACGGCTCTCATGTTATCCTCCTGTGCTGCTTTCTTTGTCTGTGGGATGATTGCACAAACACAATCCTCCTCGGTTACGTAGAACCAAGTCCGTCCATAGCAGTGGCGTTGATGTCTGTATTGAGATTGGTTGGAGTTAGTTTCCCTGCTTGAGTTGGTCATTCTCCTAATGTTTCCTTGGCCTAGGCACAAATGCCTGCGTTACTTTTCTTAACTGTCCCAGAGCAACCGAGGTGCCTGCACCTCTCTTTTGATGTCAATTTTATTTTTAAAAAGTTTTTTTTTTTCAATTTGGTTTCTAAATTGTGTCTCTGAAAAGGCTGGCGACTATTGGCATGTACTGCTGTAGCTGCCAATAGCCATTACCGCCTCAACCGTTAGTTTTATCTTAGAAAGCAGATGCCTGTCTTTAGGCACACCAACTGGTCTTACGTCTCTGCAGTGCTCTTGACTCCCTTTATTCCTTAATTTTTCTTTCTCTAGTGAAAATTGTCATTCGAGGTGACAGAAACACGGGAAAGACCACTTTGTGGCATCGGCTGCAGGGAAAGAAATTTGTTGAGGAATATATCCCAACCCAGGAGATCCAAGTCACCAGCATCCATTGGAATTATAAGAGTGAGTTTTGCCAGCTGTTGGGGATGGAGAAGCACTTTTCTCTTTGCTGTCTGATGTATAACTTAACACTGGAGCCACGTGCTGCTGTGGTTCCCTCATTGGTAAAGGCACGTTGCCAGTATAGGGTTGTCCTCATTTTTTTAAACACACCCCAGCCATCTGCTCTATGCCACGTGGGTCAGGGGTAGCTCTAACAGTGTTCGAGTTAACTGCAACTGAGCAAACTTTTCTAATCTATATGCCTGGCTGACTTTTCCAGCTACTGATGATATTGTGAAGGTTGAAGTCTGGGATGTGGTTGATAAAGGTAAGGTCTCTCCTTTCATTCTGATGTTACGGTCGTTATATAGTATTTGGATTAGGCCTGAGAGTATTGGGAAACAGGCAACTTGTCTGCCTGTCCCACTGGGTTCCTAGTGGTGAGCAGAGCATCTCTTGGCCTGTGGCTATTGCTTTCCTTGAATGCCCCCACTGGAAATGTATGTTAAGCCTGTCCAGTTTCTGTCACCTCTTTTTGCAAAGTGATGGGATGTCTCTTCTTGAGCTTGCAAAGGCAGAAATGCTGTGCATGAGGTGGAATGTGGGAAAAGCTACATGTTTGGGGCTCTCTTTTCTGCTCAGCTAGGAGACCAACAATTTTCACAACAGTGTTTTTCTCCTTTCAAATACTGCAGGCAAGTCCAAAAAAAGGGGAGATGGGTTGAAGCTGGACAACGATCCTCAGGAGGTGAGGCACACTCTGACCTGCTGTCTTGTAAAGCATCAAATCCTTCATATGCACCTGGTGCAGCCTCTTAACTTCCTGTATGCTGTGAGTCATCCCGGGAACCAGCCGGGGCTTTTTTGAGATCTTTCTCTTTCCACCCCAGGCAGAATCCGAGATGGCCTTGGATGCGGAATTCCTGGATGTATATAAGAACTGCAACGGTGTCGTGATGATGTTTGATATCACCAAACAGTGGTAGGGACTTTTGCCTTCACCTTTCCCTTGCTGTGACTCTGTACAAGAGGAAGGGCTTCCTCTCTGAGAAACACCAAAGCCTCGTTGTCAGATTTTACACAAAACTTGTGGATGATGAACTAGATGATGAACTAGATGATGATGAACTTGCAGAACTGATGAAGCACATGGCTCTGTGAGGGAGGAGGGGTCTCCTTCAACTGCTCTATTGACTCAAGGGGTCTCTAGGCTGTTGTGCCTCCTGTAGGTGCAGCCTCTTTCAGAGCTCTTGTGGCAGAATTGACCTGGACAAGTATCGTTCAAGGAGCTCTCCTTTCCACTCCATCCAGGACTTTCAACTACATCCTGAGAGAACTTCCAAAAGTCCCAACCCATGTACCTGTGTGCGTGCTTGGGAACTACCGGGACATGGGCGAACACAGGGTGATCCTGCCTGATGATGTGCGGGAATTCATTGACAACCTGAACAGGTAAAAGCATCAATCTTTTTTAAAAACTTTTTAAAATTTTCTTTTAATACAAACACATTAAACAGTGTGTCACCTGAGTATAAAATTTTTTGTGCCTTAACAATTAAACTTACCACCATATTCATTTCTTACATTCATTCTTATATTAATACTAAATAATAATAATACTGATAAAATAACATAAACGTAACATTTCTCTTCTTTACTTATCTATTTTTACAATACATTGCTTTCATATTTATTCTCTAACCATTGATAAAATAACTCCCATATATTATAATAATCTGGTTTTTCCTTTTCTTGAATTGCAAGTGCAATTTCTGCACATTCTAATATTTTCTTAATCACTTTTTCATCTATAGGGATCTCTTCGCTTTTCCAATTTTGTGCAAATACAATTTAGCTGTGGTTATTACATGAATAATCAAATATAGAGTTTCTTTACTATAAATTCTCAGTAAAATCCCCAACAGGAACAATTCTGTTTTTAAATCAATATGGTGTTGCGTCATCTTCTCCAACCACATACAAATTTTTGCCCAGTATCTTTTTGCTTCCCCACATGTCCACCACATATGATAATACGACCCCGGTGTCTGTTGGCATTTCCAACATTTAGTTGATTTATCTTTAAACATTTTGGCCAGTCTTTCTGGTGCTAAGTGCCATCTGTAAAACATCTTATATAGGTTTTCCTTGTGTGCAGTTGATAATGTTAATTTGTAATTCCTATCCTATAGTTGCTGCCATTTATATAACTCTTATCGTGTGACCAAAG